GAGGAAAGCAGCTGTAGGAGAAGCTTAAAGCAGAGCAAAGTAGATCTGCGCCTCTCGTTTATATTGTTTAGTCTATACTAGGACATCATCACATACTGGACATTAAATGTTGTGGCTCCCAGGGTGGTTTGATTTTTGTTAAAAGGACAAAATGGCTCTTATCATTTGTGTTGTGACTCCTGACCTAACCTGGCTTTTAATGCAGAGGGAACCGGTCTGATTTCTCACTCATCCAGTAGTGTTTTTGTTGTGTGCCGTCACAGACTGTCCGGGCGCTGCACTTACCCACTTCCAAGTTCCGCCTTTTGCGTTCCGTCAACATTACGTTATAAATTAAATATTTAGAAAATCGATTTTTGACATTTGTGAATCGATTCAGAATCATTCACGTCCGCATCACGATGCATCTAAGAATCTATTTTTTCCCGCACCCCTAGTATTAACTGATATTTATTGAAGCGAAGCTCATAATTGACCTTGGGCAATATTCCATAGATTACTTCTGGGTAGCTGAAAAAAATAGTATTACACTATCCAGTTGCTTAATTATGTTGAAATTTGATTTTCATAATTCTGTTTTGGGGTAAATAACTAAGCATAAACAATTAACTGTCTTTTCCAATGTACATTCTGAAATAACCACAAGTGCATCAAAATCAGAAGAAAGCAATGTTATTGACCTGACTGGTTATTGACCAGGTAGTATCCCATTCACATCTAACATCATTTTAAGAAATTATGGAAATACTGTAGTTGACAGAAATTGATAAATTTATGAATGCCGTGATGTAGGATGAAAGATGACTACTTATGTTAGCTACATATTTTCTTTTTACCAACATCTTAAATTATTTATAGCAATACCTTAAAAAATTAACAAGTAATCCTGTGAAACAGGTGTTCTACAAAACTAATCAGCCGGTTCAAGATGTAACAACTAATCAGATCAGGTATTACCCATTATCAGATTGCAGTGTTATTTTTTCGACCACACACCTATTGTAAGTTACTGTTAGATATGTTGGTTGATAGTAAGTACATTTGGTTGTTATTTTAGCCTACATAGATTTTTTTTTTCTGTGACTGTGCATGTGTGTGTGTGATTTTTGTTTGTTTGTTTTTGGTCCGGCGGCACGGTGGCGCAGTGGGGAGCGCTGTCGCCTCACAGCAAGAATGGCCTGGGTTCAATTCCCGGCCAGGGTCGTTTCTGTGTGGAGTTTGCATGTTCTCCCTGTGTCTGCGTGGGTTTCCTCCTACAGTCCAAAAACATGCAGTCAGGCCAATTGGACGTGTTAAACTGCCCCTAGGGGTGTGTGTGTGAATGTGTATGTCTGTCTGTCTGCCCTGCGATGGACTGGCAACCTGTCCAGGGTGTATCCTGCCTTCTGCCCAATGACAGCTGGGATAGGCTCCAGCACCCCACCGCGACCCGGAAGGATAAGCGGTTTAGATGATGTATGTATGTTTTTGGTCCATCCCAACCAGGCCTCTCTTTCTGTGGGAGACACACAGAGCATTGTCCCCAGACAAGTTCTCCTGTAAGTGTGAGTACAAGACATGAAAGCAATTATACCAAATCATATTTACACCTGGGTTTAATTACTATATCAGTAAATGTGCAGCAGGTCTGCCTTGGTTTTATATTGTAGACTTAATTAATAACATAATTTGTTATTTAAAAACTTTTTCATCCAGATATGAGGGGCTTGCCAGCAGCAGCAAGAGAACTGTCCTATAGCCAGTTCATAGCAATCGGATTCTGAAATGTTTACTAATCTGCTACCATTTTACTTACTTTCGTTCAAGCCAGAGAAGACATATCATTGTCCTTCATGAACTGTCACTAAAGTTAGTGCACTCTGTTTATCTTGAATTTAACATTGAATTTCATTGTTTTAGTGTTTAGTGGGTGAAACATTTCACCAGACACCAGTAACTTTTTTTCACTTATCTTTCTTTAGAGAGCTCTAAAAAATATAAACAATGGTGGTCATTCGCAGAGCGATGTCAGAAGATTTATGTCTCCAGCTGATGCTGTAGCCTATGTCTAACTGGACCACAGGGGAAATGTTTCTGCAAACTGTAAATGGAGCACCATGTTTTTTTTGGCACACCATGTTTGTAAATGGATGGAGATCCACATATAGCAACATATATTTTTTGTTGTTTTTTGTTTGTAAGTATAGTGACATATTACCTGACAGTAAACCAAATAAGGACACCCAGATGCTGTGAGTGAAAAATTTCGCTATTTGCTCAATGTAGGATTGCGTGCTAGGATAACAGCTGAAAAACTGAAAGTAACATTGTAATCTATATGATTACTATTTTTATGGCTGTTTTTTTCTTGTTCAAAGGAAATGCACAACCCTGCTGATATCATTAGAGACTTCAAGAGGGAAAACATCAGTGAGCATTCTATTTTGACGGTTGTGGTAAGAAAGAGGCAAATTCTACACAGCACTATCACAGCTCTAAACAAGGGCTACTTTGACTGGCATAAACATCCACAGATTGAATTTGTAGGTGAGATGGCTCATGATTACGGCGGGCCTACAAAAAAAATTTCAGTTGTGAGTTACGTTGTCTATTTATAATGATACTGATATTAAGTCTTGTACTTGAGTCAAACTGGAATGTAATAATAATTTTATGAGTATTTAAACATTTGTTATACAGTCTTGTGCAAAAGTCAGCGAGGATGTCTTATTTCTGAGAAGATTAGATATAAGAAAGTTAATAAATAAATTAAAAATAAAAAGGAAAATAGTACTTTCTGGGACTCTCCCAACAACAAAAACTATCCCCATCTGATTAACAATACTTCAAGCTTTCATCTTTCAGAGAAAGGAGAAAATCAAGCTCCACTCCTGCTTTAGTTCTGAAAAAATTCACAGGTCTGAAAGGTTGTGTAACTCTCAAGAAGCCCTTACCGAGAAAAGTAAATAGACACATCAAACAAAGAAGCTAATGGTGTTCCAGAACAATGGACCCCAGCATCCAGACCAGATTATTTTGATTGTGAGAAGCAGAAAATACTAAACCAGCTTCTAAGACTGTACTTTGGGGGTGTGCAGCATAGCACGAAAGCCCTGTTTCGCAACGACTGAGAATTGCCGTGCAGACTGCAGGTCACATAGCAATGATGCGTTATTCGCATTTACAAGCAACGCAGTTGGTTTCCTGGGAAGTTAAATCAGCAGCGAGAGACTGTCAAACAGTAAAAAGTCGCAAAGATGAAGTCGCTTCTCTTCTGAATTTTCTCGCTCCACCTTAAATGGTGCCGCATTTACATTCGACGCCTCAGTCAGAATTTAAGGTGGAACGGGAAAATTCGAACAAGAAGCTGGAGAATGAGAAGCGACTTCAGCCTTGTAAGACAGCCGAATGTTGAGAGACATTTTACAATAAGCTGCCCTAGTTTTGAGGAAAAGTTTTCTGGCGGAGATGGGAGGAAAGTTCCGCCTTTTGCGTTCCGTCAACATTACGTTATAAATTAAATATTTAGAAAATCGATTTTTGACATTTGTGAATCGATTCAGAATCGTTCACATCCGCATCGCGATGTATCTAAGAATCGATTTTTCACCCACCCCTAATATATAATGTGAATATACAGCAAGATATACAGCAAAAATCAAAGAAACTGGGTTTTTTCTGGCAATGGCTTGTTTTCATAAAGACCAGCATTGTGTAGCATCATTGAAACAACTACACTTAATGCTTCACAAAGCAGGGCTTTATGAGCCCCAGCTGGATTTTACCATTGTACCATTTTAATGTAGGAGACACATGAATCATGAGGAAAACTCTCTGGACTAATGAAATACATTTTTTGTACTGCTGTTTACCTTTACACTTATAGATCTCACCATATTTGGGTGGATGATGATATCCAGACAAAATTGCAGTTGTGCCTCATTCTCTCAGTTTTTGTAATTAATTCAGCTGGTCTATGGGGGTGTATAAAATGAGCTACTTTTTATGACCCAACCCTGATTGGTGCTTCATTGTCTTCCAATTTTATTTTAAAAGCTACTGGGTTTTGACAATGTTGTATCAGGTATGTTCTAATAAACTGTGGGGCCAACATGTATTTTTCTTACTGTTTGACACAAGAAGTCTATGTGGTAGGCATTTAATGAAGGATGTGCAGCCTACTTTGGGCATTTTCAAGAGACAGCCAGGCAATCTTTTTTTTTTTTTCTTATGATCGGGCAGCCCTAGATAAGGGAAAGTATTATACTGGAGGGAAGCTGATTGCCTGGTCTCTGTTGCATGGGGGACCAGGCATTAAGGCGTTGCATCCCAACTTTTATCAGTTTGGTCAGGCTCCAGATCTAGGATTTGATATTATCATCTTGCCAGATAAGTGTTTGCAGGACAAGCTTCAGCAAGCACTCTGACACTGTGCTGTTTTCTCCTTTGAAGTTAGAGCTCACCCTATATTCTGCAGAAATGAACTGTGAGAAAAAAAACTGTGTAGTACTTTATATTTCTCATATTGTACGTTAGATTGTAACATTTTGATGAACAACCTAAATTATTGTACTATTTAACACAGGCTAAATGTCTATTTTTGTTTCTGTTCCTTGTCTTCTATTGTCTTCTTAGATTAAAGGATGCAGTACTAAGGAGGCATGGAAAACTTTGCAGGACAGTCTGAGTGAATGGATTGCAGACTGTGCCAGGGGTATATAAAGCCATAATCTATAACATTTCACAGATACTTTCACAAGTTATGAAGCATTTAATCTTTCACAGGTATAGTTCCCAGCTCTGCCGAGAATGTTTTATGTATTCTATGCATTACAAAGCAACCTGTAATAAAATAGTAGATATAATTTGTTGACTAATATCATTGCTTATTGCTAATAATGGGCAGATTGTGATTGACTAGCTGGTGCCATCCTTCTATCTAATTCTCACTAAGGATCCATTTCTCCATTTCTTTTATTAATTTACTAGAAAGGTTTTATTTGCTTATTCATGTCTCAACAGGGTTGAGCAGTTAAAACAAGGGATCAACTCTTGTGGAAAACTTTGGGAAACTTTGGAGAGGTACTGCAAAGCATTTCAGTGCCTGTTTACACATACAGAGGGACTGCTGACAACAAGCTGTCTTTCGGTGTCTTTTCAGTGTCATTTGGAGTGATAAGGGGACAAACAACAAGGAAGCTGAAAAGGACACTATGTTTGCATGGGAATGTCTTCTGAACAGTGTGCAAGGTAAAATCCACCCTGTTGTCATTATGAAGTTGACAATGTACTTTGTTATGTACTTTGTTTTATTTTAAATACAACTGTAAAGGCAATATGGTAGCTATGTTTTGCTGTGTTTACAATTGAAAAATAAGCAGTGCAGTATTTGAATACAGTGCACAAAATGTACACAACAGTAAAACTGAACCACAGTATGAAAAGTAGATTCCTGGTGTATGTGTGTGTCTGTTTTAACAGAATAAAACACATTTGAGGACCTGTTGGTGTTTGCTACGGGAGCGGATGCAGTACCACCTATTGGTTTTCCCCTGTGACTTCAAATATAGTTTTTTGACCAGGAAATAAGGGGCAATCGTTTTCCTCAACTTTCTCTGTGACACTGTTCCTTCCTCACGGTGTACAGAATGAAAGTGAGCTGCTTGATCTGATGGCTGATGTTGTCCTTAGTTAGTATTTGGAAAAGTTTAGGCTATATCTCTAGCCAGCTGCAGCAAGTTTAAAAGAAAGAGTCTGGAACATTTTCATAGCTAGTTTCATGTTTGCCTGAGGAATTTCATTTTCTACAACTTTTATTCTCAGAGTTGTCTGAGGATTCAGTATTGAGTCTGCTTTAGTTATTTAAAAAAAAAAAAAACACCTCACTAACATAAGTCAACAACTGTGATTACAAAGGCTATATGCTTTTAAACAAACCTGCAACTGTTGAGAGTGAGAATATTGGTCAGTTTATTTTATTTATTTATTTATTTATTTTTCTCATTCCATTTGACCTTTTAGTATCGTGTAGTCCCTAGAAACTGTTTCTGTTGGAGCATTACAGTTTTACATTTCTGTTACAATGTACATATTACAGGAACAAGAATTTAATAAGTATTTATTATTGTAATTGACATGGTTTCTCTTTGTAGTATGTACATGAAGAAAAATGAGAAATTTTCAGTCTGCTTTTGTTCACATCCTTACAATGATTACACATCGAAGCTGTATATACTGTGCATTCTTTATAAGACCTTTTTTACCTAAAATGTCAGAAGGCATTGTGGTGAAAGCATAGTGGTGATCTCTCTACAGTATGTTAAATATTTGTCTTTCAAGTCTGTAATTCTTGTAAGGACATCCTGAAGCATCTGTTGTTGTTCTTGTTTAAAGCTGTGGTCATTTCACAACTACTGCCTGGTTTCGAGTGAGCATTTACAGATTTCACTGTCTAGTTTCAGAAGGCCTTCATCCTCGTAAGTGTACAACAAGATTTAAAAGTAATGGATGGCGTGTGAATTCATGTCTCCAGAGGCATTCAGGTTGTTAATTGTGGATTGTTAGCCCAGTAATATGGCTGCTTTGACCTTCCCCATTCAACAGGTTCATTAAAAGTATATTTTCACCACCATGATCCAATCTGACCCTTGATGGAAGTCCATACCAACAGGTTGCTGATCTTACATGCTGTTCAAGATCATTGCCATTGATAGGAGTAAATCTTTGTCTAATTGAAATGCCTAGAGGTCATAATGCAAGATGATGAGCAACCAAGAAGCCGCACCATTGCCTTCACCCCAAATGCTTGGTTCCATAACAGTACCAGCTGCTCTCAGCTGCTACACATAGATTCAGGATGTACTATAGGAACCTGAAATATCCAGCACAAACAACACACTGGACAAATGCAATGTTCAAAACAAAGTTACAGAACTATCCAAAGATTTTAAGATTATTTTATGCAGTAGGCCTACATAGTGGTTGTATGTTGCATACTAGTGCTATGATGCTGGGCAGAAAATGCAGAAGTTGGCACTTCTGCAGTTATGGAAAACTGTAATACAGTTAGCCTCTCAATTCTGTGAACGTCTCCAGGCTCAAATAATAGTCAATACAACGCAGATTAGCAATGAGAGAATAAATAATATCAACATCACGCAGGCCTCCATTTCTGCTTTGCTGGAAGTTTCTTTCAATTAGTCAGATTCTCCTCATAGTTTATTCAAGAATCATGTCCACCATTGCCAGAGCTTAACAGTAGGCTACGCTGAACAGTATGGCCTATTTTTGTGTGCACGTCAGCGTGGAGAAAGAACCACTTTCTTTTGCTGCAAAATATGTTGAGTGCAAGCTTTACTATTTTTTTTCTAACAACTTAAACATACAATATATGTGGTAGTCTCTTTAAGGAAAGTACAATGCAAATTGTCTCTGCCTTCATGTCCACATACAAATCAAGCAAATTAACATTAGAACAACATCAGAAAAATGCAATTCTTACTTCTTATTATTCTTACTACTTAAAATACAAGTTTAAAACACAAGTGATAATTGAATTTTCACTAGTAAAAATGAAATTTTTGATATCAAGACATATAATTTTTACATGTAATAATTTAATTCTTTCTAGTGAAAATTTTTTTTTACTGGTAGGAATGAAATTTCCCTAGTGTAAATTATAATTCTTGATATCAAAAATTTAATTATAGACACAAACGGCATTCTACAGGGTCAAAGCACCATGAGGTTAAAAAGGGCTTAGGTGTCAGCCTCTGGTTGTAGAAGGCAGCAGGTTGTTGGATTTTTACGACCTCCATTTCATATGATTAAGATCAGTAAATGATATGTCTGCTTCAGTTCATACAGCTTCATCTACAACAAGGAACTGAACCTGCGACTTTAATCTTCAAAGGTGGACATATTTATGGCAAGCCACGAGTGACCCTTGACACTGCTGCATTTTTGGAGACAATTCATTGGTAGGCAGCAACATGAACCAAGCACCATTTTAGGAACTAGTTCCCAACTTTCAACTACTGTGATTATTGAGAAATTGAAAATTAATTCTTAATTTCAAAACATGTTCAAAACATCAACATTAGTGTTCTTATAACAGGAATACTTTGTCAGAGTACAGTTACCTAAAAACACTAACAACTGTTGGCATTAATGTATAGCCAATATTTTATGTTAATCTGTTAAGTAGTAAAGAGTTATTTGCTCTGTAGTTTTATTTCATGTTATAATTAGTTTATTATTCTAGTCTATTATTCTTTGTAAACAACACTATTAAAAGTGGAACAGGGCAGCAGTTGATTTGTAATGTTTTGAGTTTGAATTAATGTAAAATTCTGATTCTGTTCATGTAAACTTTCATTAAAAGTATTTATTTGGGCTGAATAAAAGCAGTTAAATTGTTTTACCACATAATTTTTTTAGGTTGATTTGACAAACACTACAAAACAGAATGGTATATCTGTATTGTGTAGGAATAAATGAAATAAAAGAAACTAAAAAAAATCCAGTACTTTACATTATCTAGCAAAGAAAAAAATTATAGATACTGCAAATGCTAACTCTGTCTGGTCTATATATTATTTGGCCACATGTTCTCATGCACATTACAGTTAACATTCTCTATTGTTTATATGCATACGAATGAGCACATATGTACTGAGCCCATAATAGACAACTTTGTCTATTATGTAATTTTGTAATAGTGTTTGCAAGCATTTGAACTCCAGATTTGAGCTCTAGAAATACTTTTTTTTGTTGATGGCTTGGGTTGACATAATTTTAGAAATGGTCACTGAATGCATTCAGTATTCAGCTGTTCATGGTTTGGCCCAAACAAAGTGCTGGTGTACTAACTGTGTGAAGAGTACTATAAATGAAAATGCAGCATTAAAATGCTTGTTAGTTGTTCTAAAAAAACAGTAATAGGTAGTAGTAATAGGGATTAATAACAAGTCAGTTCTGGTACATAGTTTGCGAATGAGTATGTACAACAGTGCTTGTACACCATTTAATGTAAAATACATAGTGAGTGTTGGGGGTTAGAGGGTGCGAAGTAACATGTTGTTACAGTAATGTGATTACTTTTTTCACTAACCAAGTAGTATAATGCTTTACAATTTAAATTGTTGTAATTACATTTCAATTACTTATGTGTTTACGAGTGCAATATTAATTAGGTGCAATGCATTTAAAATAAATAAAAAATATATATAAATGTGTGTGACCAAAAATGAGTGTTTTTCATTCATTTACTGAACAAAGGGATCCAACATTAAATGTTTTTTTGAACCTCTGCTTTCAGTAACTGGTGTGACCCCCTTATCAGCAATGATTTTAACCAAATGTTTCCTGTTACTGTTGATCAGCCATGCACATTGACTTGGTGGAGTCTTGGCCTATTCTTACTTATACAACCACTTCAACTCTGGTACATTCATGGGCTTTCTTGGATGAACGCTAAATCCTAGGTTGTGCCACAACATTTGTATTGGGTTAAGATCTGGACTCTGACTCAGCCATTCCACATTTCAAAATTCCTTCTGCTTTAGCCATTCTTTATTGACTAACTGGGATTTTTATGGTTGTTGTCTTTCTTAAAGAAGGTGTTCTGTTAAGGTTCAGTTCATGGATGGATGCCCTAACGTTCTCCTGTAAAATTTCTTGATACAACCCCAAATTCATGCTGCGTGCTCCAGCTTCAGTAAAGATTCCAGTGCCGTTTACCTTCTGTAAAACGAGCTGAAGAAGTAATCTCAGATTTTATTAATCCTTTGCTAATCGACATGTTGGTAAAAATGCTATCTTATACTGTGGGAAAAATTAGTTTCTTAAGCATGGGGGCACTCGAAGAAGCATTTACTTGTTGTCTTTGTGGCTAAAATCAGACCAACATGTAATGTTACTATCCTGTCTAACGTGTACTCAGAACATATAAAAATTACTGGAAAAAGAGTTTGATTTTATGTGGTTGACTGTTTGCTTTCATTTCTTCAAGCTACTGGAGATGCTAATGATGCACTGCATTAACACAAGACAGCAAGGCAAGTAGTAAATGAAATAACAGCTAAATTAAATGTTTTGACATGTTTTCTACTCTTTTCTGGAGTAAAGCATGCACATAAATTTAGTAGCTACTCCCATCTCTGTCATTTAGACTAAGATTTCTTACCCCATGCGAATCAGTCCTAAACATTACAGACATTCTGTGGTAAACTGGCATTACCCCACCTCCCCATAAAAACTAATGTCATCTGAATAAGAATTCAGAAGAACTACTTTTGGTCCCCTGAAAAATTCAATTTATGGTTCTTTAGAAAACCGTTTTTTTGAAAATGAAATGTGTGACTATGAAGAATCTTTTGTGAAAGAACCTAGCCGAGCAGCTTGCTGGCGATTCTGGAAACATAGGAGTTACAGCCCATGCATGTCCTCATTGGCCGGAGTGAAATGTATCTGTGTAGAGTCAGAGATTTCTGTGTCCTACTGTGTTTTCTATTACTGAATAAAAGATGCACAAGACTTCCTTTATTGCTGGATGAACTGTGATTTTTTCCACTCATTCCAAGAGCTATTCAGACTATTCGGTAACAGCTTATTATTTACTAGGTTTATCAGAATAATGATAAAATGTTACTGATGCATGATTTATATTTCAAAAGGTAGTTTATGACACAAACTAAAAAAAATCTATAATTATTGGTCTTAAAACTAGAATAGATCCTTTAAATCATTTGAACTTTCTTTGAACCTTTCTTCACACTCACAGATC